TGTGTGTGTGTGTGCGTGTGTGTGTGTGCGTGTGTGCGTGTGCGTGTAGGTGGCAGTGTGTCAGGAGCTGTGTGTAATCCGGCTCTGGCCTTCTCCACACACTTCCCCTGCAGTGGGAACTCCTTCCTGGAGTTCTGCTTCGTGTTCTGGCTCGGTCCACTTCTGGGTAAGATCGACTGACGTAAAAATATAAAACGAAAAATGAAATTCAATCAATAAAAGTCAAACATGGACGTGTTATTGTTCTTCTTCCACTGTAGATCTGTTTCCATCATTAGTTGTTATAGGAGATCATCTTATTTTTTTATAAAATAAAATATCAGTTTAAATAAAAATAAGTGTTAAAACTCTGCAAACACTTAAAACAAGCCAAACACTAACTAAAGGCTATCGGAAGCTGAAGACTAGCTAAAAGCTGAAAACAAAAGGCAAAACAGTAGATTATAGCTGTCTGAAGCTAAATACAAGTTCCAATCTAAAACAGGCATCAGTTAAAAACTAAGAAGCTGAAAACACTAGCTAAAAGCTACAAAATGCAAAACATCAGGGTAAAAAAAGAAAATCACAAACTAAAAGCTAAACTAGCTAAAAGCCAAAGGGGGAGAAAATATTAGCTAAAGGAAAGAAAACACTAATTTAAAGCTAAAGGAAGCTAAACATTAACTAAAAGTTCTAACAGCTAAAGGCTAAATGAAGTAGATCACTTGCTAAAAGCTAAATGTAGCAAAAATAGCTAAACTAAATAAAAACTAAAGGAAGCTAAACATTAACTAAAAGTGAAAAAGGATAAACAGTAACTAAAGGTTAAATTAAGAACAACAGCTAAAATCTAAAGGAAACAAAAGACTAGCTAAAAGCTAAATGTTGCAAAAATTTGTTAAAAGTAGAAAACTAACTGAAAGCTAAACAAAAGAAGGTAAACATTTACTAGGAGCTAAAAGGGGCAAAACATTAGCTAAAAGAAAGAAATTCATTAAAAACTAAAGGAAGCTAAACATTAACGAAAAGTGAAAAAAAGGCTAAACAATAACTAAAGGTTAAATTAAGAACACTGGCTAAAAGCTAAAGGAAATAAAATACTAGCTAAAAGCTAAATGTTGCAAAAAATAGTTAAAAGTAGAAAACTAGCTGAAAGCTAAACAAAGGAAGGTAAACAATTACTAAGAGCTAAAAGGGGCAAAACATGAGCTAAAAGAAATAAATTAATTAAAAACTAAATGAAGCTAAACATTAAGAAACATTGAGTAAAAGTTAAAGGAAGCAGAACTAGCTCAAACCTAAATGTTGCAAAACATGAGCTAACAGCTAAAGGAAAGTAAACATTAGCTAAAAGATAAATAGGGCAAAATATTAGCTAAAGGTAGCTAAACATGAACTAAAAGCTAAAGGAAGCAGAACACCAGCTAAAACACCGGTCTTCACAGGGATCTTCAACTCTTCTCTGGAGTCATGCCACGTCCCAGCCTGTTTCAAGTCCTCCATCATCGTCCCTGTCCCCAAGAAGCCACGTGTCACAGGACCAAATGACTACAGACCTGTAGCTCTCACGTCTGTAGTCATGAAAACCTTTGAACGCTTGGTTTCATCTCACCTCAAGTCCATCACCAACCCCCTCCTGGACCCCCTGCAGTTTGCCTACAGGGCCAACAGGTCTGTAGATGACGCAATAAACCTGGCTCTTCACTTCATCCTGCAGCACCTGGACTCCCCAGGAACCTACGCCAGG